CAGAGCAATCATGATTTTATTTGATGTTGTAGAAGGCTCAAGGGGCCAAGTGGTCTACATCTGCTTCATTTTTTTATTCATTTGTGGAATGCGGGCATCTCTGGCTGGCCAGCATTTATTGCGCATCCCTAGTTGCTGTAGATTCTAGTTGGCCTTTCAGTTTGCAAGTTCATATGTTAACATGGCTGGAGGCTTGATCTACAATCCTCACACATGCACAGCATGCATGCTTTGAGAGCCATGGTCCCACACAAAATGTAACAGAGCAGGCCTAGAAGGTCCAGTTGTGGACTACCCTCCTTTAGCTTGGGAGGCAGCAGTCTGGATGGAGAAGAAGTGCTTTCTTCCTGTCTGAGGACAGAAGTTTGGTGCCCCAAGCACTCACTGCCACTTACCCAACGTCATCTGTTAAGAAGCAGATTTCTGGAAAACTGTGACTCCCTATAAGGCTCCTTTGAATATTCTAATCTGCAACCATAATAGCAATGGTCTGAGGCCACATATCAACAAGCTGACAGTGGTTACTGACGGTATGAGCTTTCACTATAGTACTCACACACTGGGTGGCTCTGCTCGTCCTGTAATGAGAGCTGCAATATTAGCCATGAGAAATTACATCATCATTGCTCTGCAAATGTATGAATGGAGTTTTCCTGTGTTTTCATCTTGTAAAAGTTGGAGCACAGCTCTATGACCTGTTGATATTGGACTAATATGTAGTCCTTGACATTGAATGCAAGCTTTCTGGCAGGCTTCCCAATGTACCAACCATTTTGTTGTGCATATCCATCAGAGTTTTTCACCTGGTTTCTCCAGTGATGCGCTCATCTGAGTCCTCTACAGTGCATCTATGTGTGACCTTGTCATGTGTTGAGCTGGAACCTGCACTGTCCAGTTCCTCATTCCTGCCATCAGCCCTCATGTTCTTTCGGCATATGCAAATCCTGCATCTAACCTTTCCTCTAAGATATGCTTTGTGGCAGTATCTGATCTGCTGTCTTCATCATAACTTTTCTCGTCGATATCCCACCATTGCCCAGGCTGATTGGACCTCTTGTGTGGCTGAAAGGAAAAAGGCACAAGGATGTGTTGTGGAGCTAGGGATGGGTAGAAAGAAAGGGTGGGGAGCAGTGGTGCTGGCAGATGTTTAAGAAAATAGACCATGACGCACAGCAACAACATATTCCAGTAAGGAAGAAGGATTCCAGGAAGGGGATAAGCCAACAATGGTTAACCAGGGAAGTTAAGGATAGTGCCAAATTGAAAGAAAAAAATATACAATGTGGTAAAGACTAGTGGTAAGTCAGAGGTTGGGAAAGTTTTAAGCACCAACAAAAGACAATCAAGAAAATAATAAAGAGGGAGAAAATAAACTTTGTAAGTAATATCAAGAGGGAAGCAAGTGTTTCTGTAAATGTACTAAAAGCAAGAGAGAAGCCAAAGTAAACATAAGGCTGTTTGAGAATGAGGCTAGAGAAATAATAACAGGGAACCAGGAAAAGGGAATAAGGGTTGAATAAGTATTGAAATATGGTTCTTTAAATAACTACACCCAAAATTACAAAATATAATAACCATCACTAGAGAAAAAGTGCTGGGGAAACTAATGAGGCTAAAGACGACTAACTGCCTGGGACCTGATGGGATGCACTCTAGGATATTAAAGGAAATAGCTACAACAATAATGGATGCATTGGTATTTATTTTCCAGGGATCCTTAGATTCTGAAGTGTTCCAGAAGATTGGAAAACAGCCAATATAAAACCTTTATATAAGGAAAGGAGGCAAAAAAAAAACATGTAACTATAGGCCAGTTAGCTTAACATCTTTTATTGGGAAAGTGTTAGTGTCCATTGTAAGGGATGTAATAGCAGAGCATTTAGAAATACATAACAGAATTAAGCAGTCAGCATGGCTTCGCAAAGTGGAAATCATGCCTTACTAATTTACTAGAATTCTTTGAGGAGGTAACAAGTAGGATAAAGGGGAAGCAATGAATGTGATATATTTGAATTTTTAGAAGGTGTTGATGAGATACCGCACATTAGGCTACTTAATAACATAAGAGTCCATGATGTTACAGGCAATACATTAGCATTAATAGAGGATTGGATAACTAACAGAAGAGAGTTGGAATAAGGGGGGGTGCATTTTCAGGATGGCAAGCTGTAACTAGCAGTGTGCCACAGAGATCACTACTGAAGCCACAATTATTGACAATATGACTTTGATGAGGAAAGTGAACACACTATAGCCAAGTTTGCAGATGACACAAAAGTAGGTGGGAAGGCAAGTAGTGAGGATGACACAAAGTGTCTGTAGTTGGATACAGATAGCTTAAGCCAGTGGGCAAAAACTTAGCAGATGGAATATAATGTGAGAAAATGAGGTTATGCACTTTGTCAGGAAGAATAGAGAAGCTGGATATTATTTAAATGGAAAAAGGTTTCATAAAATTATGGAATAAAGGATTTGGGAGTCCTCGCGTATAAATCACAAAATGCTAGCAAACAAGTTCAACTGGGAAAACCAAAAGAATTGCGGACACTGTAAATCAGGAACAAAAACAAAGTTGCTGGAAAAGCTCAGCAGGTCTGGCAGCATCTGTGAAGGAAAAAACAGAGTTAACGTTTTGAGCCCGGTTACTCTTCCTCAGAACTTCTGAGAAACTTTAAATAACTTTAAAGGGAATGAAATATAAAAGGAGGAAAGTTTTGCTAAAAAAGTACAAGGCACTTGTCAGACTCTAGCTGGAAGACTGTGAACAGCTTTGGGCTCCTTATTGAAGGAAAGATATGCAAGCACTGAGGTAATCCATAGAGAGTTCACTAGGCTGATACCAGATATGAAACGTTCTGAAGAAGGGTCACTGGACCTGAAACATTAACTCTGCTTTTTCTCTAGAGATGTTGCTAGACCCGCTGAGTTTTTCGAGCAAATTCTGTTTTTGTACTTGGTATGGAGGGACTGCCTTAAGGGGACAGGTTGAGTAGGTTGGATCTGTACTCATTGGAATATAGAAGAGTGAGAAACAATCTTATTGAAACATACAAGGTTCTTGAGGCCTTGACCAGATAGCTGTGGAAAGGTTGTTTCACCATATGGGGAAGTTTTGAACAAGAGGGCATAATCTCAGAATAAGAAGTTGCACAGTTAAGACAGAGATGAAGAAGAATTTCTTCTCTTAATGGGTAGTGAATCAATGGAATTCTTTACCACAAAGGGCTGATGAGGCTAGGTTGTTAAGTATATTCAAGATTGAGATAGATTTTTAATCAGTAATGGAATCAAGGGTTATGGGGAAAAGGCAGGAAAGTGGAGCTGAGGATTATCAGATCAGCCATGACCTACTGAATGGCAGAGCAGAACCAATGGACTGTATCGCTTATTTATGCTCCTGTGTCTTACGGGCAGGAGTAACCTTGATTAAGAATTCATAGAATGCTACTGAAATGGTTTCTTAGAGCAGTAGATTCTGGAACTAATCAGAGAGCAGGCTATAGTAAACTTGGTATTGTGCAATGTGATTAATGATCTTAGAATAAAATCATTCTAGGATGCAATATTCATAATATGAATGAATTTTAAATCTTGTCGAAAGGGAGAAAAATTGTTTAAAGACAAGCATTTTAAACTTAAATAAGGGCAACTGCATGGGCATCAAAGCTGAGAAAGCTGAAGTGAACTGGAATATTCTGGAGATAGAACTGGAGATAGATTAGTAGAGAAGTAGTGACAGAATGTTGAAAGAATATTTCAGAATATTCAAAGTACTTTCTGGCTATAAAGAAAAAAATTGAAAAGAACATCCATCATCTGTGTTTAATTTAAGATATTAAGGAAAGCATCAAACTTAATGAAAAAGCATATAATTGTGCAAAGGTGAGTGGCATGACTGGTCAGACGTAGCACAGCAGAAAATGATGAAAAGGTAAACCAGGACAAATAAATTAGTGCAAGAGCAGATTAAAAATCTGGCAGAGGCTATGATGTGAAAAACTGTGAAATCCTTCACTTTGATGGGAAGAATTAAAAAAAAGAGTATTATTTAAATGGAGAATTCTGTGTTATAGGTATTCTAGTACGAGTCGCAAGAAGTTAGGATGCAGGTAAAGGAAGTGATTAAAAAAGGCTAATGAAATTTTATCCATTACTATGAGGTGAATTGAACATAAAAGTAAGAAGGTTATCCTTCAGTTATACAGTGTATTGGTGAGACCACATCTCAAATACTGTGTGCAATTTAGGTCTCCTTATGTAAGGAAGAATTGAGTCATCAAGTCATAGAGCACAGAAACAGATCCTTCTGTCCAACCAGTTCATGTTGACCATAATTCCAAACTAAACTAGTCCCACCCGCCCGCTCTTGGCCCATAACCCTCCAAACATTTCTTATTCACGTACTTATCTAAATGTCTTTTAAATATTGTAACTGTAATCGCATCAACCCCGCAAGTTCATTCCAGACACGAACCACTCTCTGTGTAAAAAGTTTGCCCTTCAAGTCTTTTTTAAATTTTTCTCCTCTTACCTTAACAATATATGTATGCCTAAATGTAAATGTATTACAGATGGTTCAGTGGAGGTTTACAAGATTGGTACCTCAACTGAGCTGGTTGTCTTATGAGGAAAGATTTGACAGGTTTGGCTTGTGTTTTTGTCAAGAGTTTACAAGAGTCGGGGTGATTTGATTTAAGTTTGTAAGATCCTGAATGGTCTTCACAAGGCAGATATGCAAAGGATACTTTCACCTCTGGATGACTCCAGAACTAGGGGATACTGTTTTGAATTTAGGTTTTGCCATTATGGGACAGGAACGAAAGGGGAAATTTTTTCTTTGAGAGGGTGTGCACCTTGTACAGTTTCAACAAGTGTCATTTCAAAATTTTTATTGATCTTTTGTAACAAACCTCTGTGGTTATCACATTCTGAAATGGGGCTTTTACCCTGACATTCTGGCCCAAATTTAGGGATACTACCCATTGTGCCACAAGATCCTTGCTTATCTGGAATACTTCACAAATTTGCCTGTTATCCTTGCACAGGGGCCATGTTAATTTTTACTGTATCATTTCAATTTTAGTTACTGCACTGCTGAGGCAAATATGAAGTGTCACTTCAGAATTTTTTTCTCATCAATCAGTTCAGATATGGGCATACATCTGTGTCAGGTGGAACTTTCTGGCCCACAGATAGTGCCATCACCACTTCACCACAAAACCCCGAAGTGTCTCTTCACATGTGCTCAAGATATTTTCTAATCAATCTGATCAGAAATGTTATTACACACCTCTAGAAAGGTGGGGCTTTAACCTAGTTCTCCTAGCTCTGTGGTAGAGACACTACCACTGTGCCACAAAGGCCCTATTGTGTTTATGTGCTCAAATGATAACAATTTAACATAATTTATATAAAATGAATACACTGTAAGCTGTGAAAATTGTCATGAATCATTCAACAAAAATTGAAGGGAACCACTGCCTATCAATAAATTTTAATTGGAAACAAACATAAACAAACCACGACTAAAGAGACACTTACCAAGTTTTGATCATTCTTTTTGGTGAAAGCTTGCTCTTTCTCCCCCTCGTCTTTTGTCCAACTATAGGAGATCAAATAGTTCATAATGGGAGGGTGGTAGATGGTTTCTGGCCTGTTCCATGTGACAAGTAAAGCGGTCCTGTTCACTGGCTGCACAGTCATATTTACTGGTGGACTGCTGCATACTGAAAGACAGAAAATAAAATGTTAATCCTGTTGGTTACTGCAAAATATTTAAGTCTCAGAGCCCAAGCCTTCCTTGGTTTCAGGAGGAAACTACACACAGTTCATAACACTGATTTCCCTGACATGCTGCTTCCAGAATTAACATTAAGCTTATTAAAACCTACTGCTAAATATTTTTCATCACTTATCACTTAAATCAGCAATCAACTTTATTTAATTCTTAGCAGGAAGAAAGGAAACAATGTTAAAACATCCATGTTTCAATAGAGTGTGAATTGCATTTCTGGATCAGAATATACACGTTTGAAATCCACAATTTCATATATCAAAGCGAGGGTGGGATGTAATGTCTGTACTTGCTGCAAAGTACCTTATTTTTACAGTATATCCTAAGTCATGCAGAAACAGTATAATTCTCTAAGGGTCAAATGCAAATTTTTGTAATGAATTATTAAGTCACTTTGGGAGATAGAAGTTAATTGGAAGAGAATTTCATATTATAAAATAACTGGCCTAGACTGTCTAATTTAACAGCCATGTGACTATTTTGCTTTGAGTAAAATGGTAAAATTAAACAATCATTAAACATTTGGTGTAGTAACTATGGCAATTAGCACCTTTCATGCACTGACATGTATTTTGCTTTCAGATTTTGCAAAAAAGATGCTTAAGAAGAAAGCTTATTAAAATTCATTGGTACAAGTGGAACTCATGACTTAAATGACAAGTATTTGAATTATTGCATCAAATACAATTTAGTAACACATTTTATATGTGTAGCAATATTGTATGTCTGACAGATGAAAGATCTACACTATAAATCTAACTTTAAATAGGTCAATACAAATTAGTTAATCTATTTATGCTGAAGAACCATTAGTTATGACAATTGTGCTATATTAAAGAACAAGATTTTCTTTCCTCCTCTTGTCAGTTCATTACACTTATTATTCCAAGTTCCAGGCAGACAACTACTGCTTCAGACTTTGGCTAAATTAATGTATCACTTGGGTCTGACTAGTTTACTTTCTTTTTTCTCTGCCTGATAAGCAATTAAGTGACACCTTACAATGAAATTGGTACCTGCATTTTAGGAATTGCAAGGTATGAACTTGCATGCCACTGTTCCATGTTCTACAAAGTCGGGAGATTCCATTCAGTAACTGGCTTAAATAAAATCACCTTCTTGTTTCCTTTAACCAACAAGCAAACCAGCCTCAAACAACAAAACACAACACAAACAGAAATTGCTGGAAAAGCTCAGCAGGTCTGGCAGCATCTGTGCAGAGAAATCAGAGTTAACATTTCGGGCCAGGTGACCCTTCCTCAGAACAAAGCAAACTAGCCTACTTCCTTCAAAGTGAGATCAGCCTCAGTTCCATTTATCTGCCTGCTTGCTGCATAATAGATTTTTTAACATGTCAAAGGCTAAAATAAGAAGCGCAAAGTTCTTTTTCCCTCATGAGCACACTGACACATCGAACCAAAGGCCATCTAACATGAAATGTTTTTGTTAAAGTGAAAATACGTCATAGCAAATCCATAATGTAATGCAAAATGGAAAATACAACTAGTTTATCACATTTGTTAAAAATATCCCATAAGAAGAGCAACAGATCTTGCAACTACAAATTAAAAATTGATTAACTGTTTGCAAACAGCTTATTAGTAAGATAGAAACTTGTTATATCAAATAATAACATATCAGGCCTAGTAAATGAATACAGTATATGCATTTTCTTAATGAAGGGAGAGGACAACATACCAACTATATGAGAAGAGGAATAAGCTGCAAGCTATAGCATGGCATTGCAGAAAATAATGGGACTTAAATAGAAACTTTTCTAGGAACTGATGGTTTCCACCCTTATGTATCAGGAAACTATTGGTACCTTAGTCATAATTTTCCAAAGATCACTAGATTCTGGTGTGCTTTCAGACTGTCAATTTACAAATGTCATTCCAGTATTTATGAAGGAATGGAGAGAGAAATCTGAAAATGACAAAGTTATCAGTTTAACATGTGTTACAGGCAAGTTGTTGGAAAGTATCATCAAGACAAAGTGCCTACGCACTTGGTCTAGTAGTAACTCATAAAAGAGATATTGCAGGGACCTATAAAGGGTAGGATGTGTGTGACTAATTGGATGTTTTGAGACGACCATCACCATAGTGTAGGGGACGGTCTATGAACATTGCCCAAGAGGTTGCACACAAGAGTTTATTCAAAGTCAAACAGTTATATAACTTGAGATAACCTTGTGGTACGGATCAGTAATTGTTGGGTATTTGGACCCAGATTAAAACCAAAAACATATTCTATTTTGTTGACTGGTTGGAACAAACAGTGTTCCCCATCAGTTCCCCATCAGAGTGCTGCTCCATCAGTTTTTCACTACATTAATAACAAATGAAAGAATACAGTTGCTATTAAAGTTTGCCTTTAAGTGATTAAATGAATAAAATGATGAAATAATTTGATAGAATATGTAAAAATAACCATTTCCTCTAGTGGTAGAATTCTCAACATGAAGGGGGGAAATGTTAGATCAATAGTTCAGTTATTTAGAAAGGAAATCAGAACCTCATTCACACAAAAGATTGTAAATATTGGGTGAGTTGAAATTTTCAAGACTGAAATCAATGGATATTTGTTAGATAATGTCAATAAGGGCTATAGAACAAAAGCAAGGAAATAACATCGAGGCACAAATCTGCCATGATCAAATTGAATGGTGGAACATGCTCAACAGGCTGAACGGCTGAATGGTTTTCACACCTTCCTATCTCCGGGAGGTAATAAAATAGACATTAAAAGAACCAGAAAATGGCAATCGTGATAAAAAGGCAAGAGAGAGGCCAAGAAAAAATGAGAATCCAAAAATTGAAAATTGTAAACCTTACAGGGTACAGGAGATTTTAAATGGCGTGAAAGCAGGAAACAGAATTAAGTCTATTCATTGCCAGAGACAAAAAAACTGATCATGGATCATATTCTGCTCTCCCCCACTACCAAAACCATATAAAAAAACCCACAGTTTTGATCTAGCTCATTTAAAACTAAGCAATATTTCCTTGTGCGATGTAATTATAGTAAAATTTAGCTTCCAGCTTTCAGCCATTATCAGTTACATTCTGGACAGTAGATGGCAGTGTAAACCCAAAGATTATTAAATAGCATCCAAATTTCTCATTGTCCACATCAGTGAACATTAACTTTTTCATTTCCTTCATCTAATCCTTACATGATTTTTAAAAATTAAACATTTGATTTGATTAATCTAAACTCCTGCACCCATGTGGCAGGATCAGTGCAGCCACACAATTCTGAGTTTTCTCACAAATTATTTTGAATACACTTGAAGCAAAAGATTTTCACACAAAACTCTGGCCCTTTCCTCACATAAGCAGAACCATTCTGAGTATGTGAGCTTTCACCATGGAAGTCCTTCATTTCACCAAGGGTAAAACACAGTTCCGAGAAGGTGCAACTCAAACTAGATCTGCTCATTTAGATTTTAAAATCATTAGCTACACCAGCATACAACTTCTTTAAGTATAATGATACAGGCTATTAATTTATGTCCAGCAGTAAATACAATGAATACCTGGAGCAACAGAACATCCATTGACCAATGACCCAAGAGCACTTACATGCTGTAGGTCAATTTTATTTTCTGTAAATTAGGTTTTCTCATGTGGCATTTAAGTTTAATGGTGGAAATGATCACAACTCATTAACTAAGATTGTTGGAATTCAAGACGACAAGGTGCAGGGCTGGATGAACACAGCAGGCCAAGCAGCACCTGAAGGGTCTAGGCCCGAAACGTCAGCCTTTCTGCTCCTATGATGCTGCTTGGCCTGCTGTGTTCATCCAGCTCTGCACCTTGTCGTCTCGGATTCTCCAGCATCTGCAGTTCCTACTATCACTTGTTGGAATTCAAGTAGTCTTTCGACAGTGTCAAGGCAGTTGCTGTTGTTTTCATAGCTGTAGCAAAATTAACAAGAATAATAATGTACTTCATTTTTTTTTCCAAAGCAATATCATGTTTGAAAATGTTCATGTGTTCACAGTAGTTTATGCACTGAAGTCATTGCCAATGGTTCTTGGCCATGTTTCTGGCTTTAAAGTTGGCAGAAATTCAGGGGTAGAGAGCAGAGATTTCAAGCATGAATACATAACTGTGTATTCATGAAAATTACCTCCTCAAAAATAATTGTGACAGATGGTGGAGGGGGATTTCTATTTATCTACAAAATCATGCCTTACTACACAGATCTACTAATTTTCAAAGAAACAGAATTCTTCCCTCTTCACAACTTTAAATGGGGGGGTGGGGCAATTGGGACATGGTAAATCTTGCCATGCTCAAAAACTTAGCTTAATTTGGTAATTAATTTCAGGAATATGTACAGTATTATTCTTACATATGGCATTCTGAATCAGCATGTGATACAATCTCTTTCTATGGAAACTGGAAGTGTTCATTTAACTGATCTTAACGCCAACAGTATCAGCTATTCTAATTTTGACATAAAAGGAGGATGACCTAACAGAAATGGTGCAGAGCCAGTGGGTCAACTATCATTATTTCCTATACTTTCAGTAGTTTAAATGTAACGAGTTTCTGCATTTTCAATTTAATTAATTGATTGCAGTTAGTAGATGTTATATTAATTATGCACAATTTGCTAGATGTGATGGCTGAGTAAAAAAAATTGAAACAGTGACACAAGTTGGAAACTTAAGCTACAGTGAATATCCAAGGTATTCTTACATAGATCATAAGCAACACATAAATGCTTAGATTATGTTCATGATAATTAATAGAATGAAATATCCACATGCAGAATGGCCAAATATATTTAACATGAAGAGACATTTTCAGGAAAAACTTTCTTTGTAAAATACAGTGTGTGCTTTGTGCATGAAATGTTGAGGCAGGTGCCTTTAGTGGCAATGAACTGAATGAACAATCTCACCTGGATCAAGCACCA